AAATATGACACCCGAAATTTTTCAGGACTACTAATACTTCCTTTACCTCGTACAAGGAAGTAAAAAATCTTCTCTGAATCCATTATACAATACATTTTGAATCCTCTATTCTGTCCATACGTACAGATGCCACACAGAAACATCATTCAAATGGATTCGAGACAGGTCAAAATGGATATTTTCGCTGAAATATGATACCTCAAATTTTTCGCGATTTCAATACTTCCTTTATTTTGTACAAGGAAGTAAAAACGGATTACCTCTGAAAAGCATATGAAAAATTAAATGATGGAATACGGTAATAAAATAAAAGAACTTATTGTTACTGCTACTAAAAGAAATAAATATCTTTAAAAAAATCATATTAACATTTATTGCAATTACTGAATTTGTTATGGGGTTCTTTTCTAGTTTCTCAAAGCTGTCTGACAAATTCATTGGCCTTTCCCGCTTTGAAGTATTTGTCCAGATATTTGCAGTTCATGGCTTCTTTGAATGGTGAACCATTTCTTTTAAAATCCTTATGCTCTAACTTGTCAATTTTTTTCCTTGGTTTTTTTCCCCTTCCATAAGCAAAAATTATACAGCTTTTATTACATATGGTGCCAGCTGTAGCTTCAGATAAATTGTATGCCTGGCAGATATCAATTTGGCTGCATCCATTCTATATTTTTGAACAATATTCATCTTATTTTATTATGTAGTACCTTTACATTTACAGCTCACAATGTGGATGAATATTTGATATAGAAACAAAGGTCACAGAATTTGGTTAAACAATACGTGAGATTTCTCTTTTCTGCAAAAAGATGAAATTTGCATTACCTATGTGTCTTATCTAATGTCCAGTGATATAATAATTATTTTACCGAAGATATGAACGGTTGCAACACAAAGATTCAATAATATTTATAAATAATATCTTGTGTGTTGCAGAACTAAAGAAAGCAAAACCCCCATTGAGGGCAAAACATCTATATTCGATTAAAACAAACCTAAAAGGATAAAAAAAAATTTTTCATTCTATGACAATAACTACTTCCTTTTTCTCTGCAAAGAAGTTAAATAGAAGCTCATCACAGCATCAGTCTTAAATGAAATTCTGTCGCAAAGGAATAGAGTTTAGTTCAATCAAAGAATTTGATTAGCATCAGAGAGCTCACGTTTTTCTTTTGGTTTAATGGTCATGTATATATCATATGGTGTCTTAAGGTATCCTTGGAGTTGGCTTTGTATCTGCCTCACATAGCCTTTGTTTAGAACACAGGGAAAAGATAAAAAAATAACATAAAGGTGTTTTCCTTTATGGATGGAAAGTGGTTCATAATATCCTAAACATGGATGGCTTTAATGATTAGTAACTTTTCCCTTAAAACTCAGAAATTCCGGAAAAGTATGAGTACAAAAAATGTTTCAATCAAAAATATCCATACTGTTTTTTAACTCAGTTTTTAAGCTTTTGGAGATTTGTTTTAAGAATATGAAATAACATTAAGTGTATAGGAAGCTGAGTAGAGCCAAAAGATTTATTCATTGTGTTTTGAGGTCGCTGGTTAGACTCTATATTAAAGACAAATTTTACAACAACAACAACAAACAATTTTATTTAGTGGACTGTATCATAACTAAAAATCTAAATCGAAAATGATAAATTCCCGACCATACGGGATCAAACATGTATGCTACGCTAGAAGTTCGAATCTTAACTAACTGAAATTGCGCAGAAACAATGCGCTGTACATAACTTTGAAATTGCGCAGAAACTATGCGCTGTACATAACTTTGAAATTGCGCAGAAACTATGCGCTGTACATAACTTATATTGCCGCGTAGGAGGCAACATACAGCCCCACGTTGCAATATCTATGATATGCAACAGATATATCGCGCATGCACAGCTGTTTCCCGCTATGATGGAACCGAGCCACGTCTGTTGCAGAGAGGTTTTCCTTCTTTATAATACATATTTTTTTAATTCTAACCTTCATGGTACCGTATACTAGGATTAAACCCATTTTGTTTTATACGAGAACAGGTACTTTCATTAGTTTATGCACTGCACATGCGATTCTCGAGGTTACTGGAAACCAAAAGTTGCGGGAAACTTGCTTTGCCTTTCTAAAAAGACAATCAAATTGGAGCTGCGAAAATTGGCTCTATGCCAGCTGCCCGAATGACACTCACGTGATACACAATTCGCGAAAAAAGTGATCTCTTCCGACGTCGGCGCAAAACTCGCCTTTTTTGGCGGGATCGTTGTATGAAATTCCCTGACTTTTCCAGATTTTAACTAAAACACTTAAATTCCCTGACTTTTCCCTGAATTTTTTGGTCAGTTTCCGAATTCCCTGACTTTTTCCGGTTTTCCAGGTAGCGTGGCAACCCTGTAAACAATTCAGAAAATTCCATAAAGTTTGAACATTTGCAAATTTTTTCAATAATTATGGTAAGAATATCAACATTTCAAACAGTAAAAAATATTGACATTTTTTATCGAAATTACCAAAATATAAGTATAATAAAGAACAATGTATATTTTATTAACAATAGAAATTAATCCTTGAAGTTATCCTCAATAGGCAATAAACAAATTTTTGATATTGGCCTTTTAATTGGACCAAACTTTGTGTTAATGACTGCTACTCGTATCTTACCATCTTTACCAGGAATCGTTTGATCAATTCTTCCTAGTAACCATTTAAATGGAGGTAACTGATCATCTTTAATAATAACCATTGTATTTTTCTTTATATTTTCCTTTGAAAAATACCATTTCTTTCGTTGTTGCAAGTGATTAAGATAGTCAGTTACCCATCGTTTCCATATAATCTGCCCCCCCCCCCATTTTAGTTAATTTTTGCCATCTTGACAATCTACTTTCTGACAAGTCCAAAATTTGAGGTTCTACAATTGAGTTTATGGGTCTACCTATTAAAAAGTGACCTGGCGTCAAGGGTTCGTAATCTGAAGGTTCAGATGATAAAGGAGAAAGAGGTCTCGAATTTAGTATTCCTTCAATTTGATCAATTACGGTTAAAAATTCTTCATAGGTTAGTTTAGCATCGGAAATAGTTCTTTTTAAGATGAAATTTGAAAAGATTTGATTCCGGCCTCCCTAAATTCCACCAAAATTGGGGGCACGAGGAGGAATAAATTTCCAAGAGATATTTTCAGATGCCAAATACTTACCCAAAACTTCATCAGGGACAGTAACTAAAGAAGCAAGTTTCTTTAACTCTTTGTGAGCTCCTACAAAATTAGTTGCATTGTCACTAAACAGACATGAGCTTTTACCTCTACGCGAAAAAAATCGTTTTAAACATGCAATAAAGGCTTCAGATGTTAAGTCAAATACTATTTCTAAATGAATCGCTTTTAACTAAGCAAACAAAGATTGCTATATAAACTTTATGTAAACTACCTTTCCTTTGATTTCTATATTTGATTAGAAAAGGGCCTGCAAAATCTATCCCTGTGTTATGAAAGGTTAGATTTGGATTTACACGTTCAGGAGGTAAATCGGCTATTAATTGGTCTGAAATGATAGGTTTATGACGAAAATAAATTAAGCATTCATGAACTGTTTTTCTGGCTAAGTCCTTGCCACCAATGGGCCAAAACTTTTCTATAACAAAATGTAATAATGCTTGAGGACCAGCATGAAAATTTTTCAAATGATAATGAATAAATATTAGCTTGCTAAGCTTATGATTTTTTGGCAATAAAATTTGATGTTTAGAATCATAATTAATTGTGGCATGAGTTAAGCAACCGCCCACACGTAATATATCTTTTCCATCTAAAAATGGATTTTAAAGTTTTTACCTGACTTTTGATTACTCTCTGATCTTGAAGTGATTTAATCTCCTCTGCAAATTCTATTACCTGAACCATTTTTATCAAGTGCATTTCCGCATCTTGGGCCTGTTTTCTTCACTGGACCTTTCAGATTGGACAGAAACCTGAAAATAAGACTTAAAATTCTAATTAGTTTAACATAATTATTTGTTAATTCAAAAAAGGTATTCCAAAACAAGTTTAAATTGCAGTTCAAATTAACGTCTAAAGGTTTTTTAAGTTCATCCTGATAAGCAGGAGAATCTATGAGAGTCTTGTCAAGTTCAAATAAAGAAGCATCACTAAGTTCGTTCTGTTCAGGACCATTCCACCACAAGGAAGATGTCACAAGTTCATGAGGATAAGCACCACGAGAAATCAGATCTGCCGGATTATTTGCTGATGATACGTGCTTCCAGTGTGTCGCGGCTCTACTAGTCTTTGGATTTTGGAGACTCTATTTGCAACAAAGGTCTTCAAAAGATGAGGAGAAGTCTTCAACCATGACAGTGCTATCGTTGAATCAGTGCACAGAATGATGTCATCTAAATGCATCTTCAATGAGTTGCTAACTTTCGAAATCAGATGAGCCAATAACAAACATGCACAAAGTTCCAATCTTGGAATAGATAAAGTTTTCAATGGAGCCACACGAGATTTGCTGGCTAGTAGATGAGATGACGAGCCGTGATCTTCATCGACACAAATTAAGTAGACAACTGCACCATAAGCGGCTTCCGAAGCATCTGCATATCCAATGAGTGAAATCTTGCTTGGATGATTGGAGAGGATGCAACGATTAATTTTTATGTTCCAACAGCCTTTAAATTTGAAACTATCTGTTGCCATTCGTGAGCAATAGTTGCGAAAAGTGGTTCATCCCAACTCAGTTTTTGAACCCATAATTTCTGTAAAAATATCTTGGCTTTGGTGATTACCGGACCAATCAGTCCTAAAGGATCATAAAGTCTGGCAATTGTCGATAAAATGTCTCTTTTGGTATATGATGATTTTTCCTTGATTGCTGAATTCATCCTTCTGAGAATTCCATGTAATACCTAAAGCTTTAACCACATTATCACTTTTGGAGGAGAATGACAGCTCAGAGCTTGTAGAAGGGCTATCCAACAGTTCAGGAGAATTAGAGTTCCATTTGTGCAAAGTCATTCCACAACTATGAAAAAGCTGTATAAGCTTGCTAAGTTTGATGAACCAGAGATGACATCATCAACATAGCAGTCTGACAAGACAGCTTTGGCAGCTTCAGGATATTTATGCCTTTCGTCATATGCAACTTGCTTTATGCATCTAATGGCTAAAAATGGAGCACTTTTAGTACCACAAGTCACCGTTTTGAATCTATATGTCACAGGCGAATCGCTAAGGTTTCTCTTCCATAAGATTCGAAGAAAGTCTCTTTGGGATTCATCAACTAAAATTTGCCTGTACATTTTTTGTATATCCACAATAACTGCAACTTGATGTTTTCTAAATCTCACAAGAATATCAAAAGTATCTTCTTGGACTGCTCCCGCTAAAAGTAAATCATTCAAACTTAAGCCATTTGAGCTTGGGGCACTAGCATTAAACACAACTCTTAATTTTGTACTTGACTTCTCTGGTCTATATACTCCATGATGGGGAAGGTAATATTCAAGTTCCGGTTTTGAATTATCATCGACCCTTTCCATATGGTCCAAATTTTCATATTCTGTTATGAAATCTTGATATAAATGTTGCAATGTAGCGTTTTTGCTAAGACGTTTAACTAATTGATTGAGTCTAATGTTGGCTAAGTGCTTTGAATCTCCTAATTGTTCGTCTTTCATAGGCATTTTTACGATAAATCTGCCATCTTCATTTCGTCTGTAAGTGTCTTTGAAATGTTGTTCACAGAATTCTTCTTCTTGGCTAAGAATTGGCTTTTCTTCACCAATATTTTCCACTAACCAAAATTTTTCTACCAATCTATCAATATTATCAACATTACCGAGAAGTCCACAATAATTCTGACAATTTTCAAGGATGTTTTTCAAAGAACCAGTAGCTATATAACCAAACACAGAATTTCTGAAAACGAGTGATTTCGTAGAAGATTTAAATTGGCCATTAATAAAAATGTCATAAAATATTTCTGCTCCTAAAAGCAGATCTATACTAGATGGAGTTGCAAATTCTGGATCAGCCAAACTTGATGTATTAGGAATATCTATATTTTCAATATTTAATTTTGTAGAAGGTACTAAATCTGTGATTTTATTTACAACTAAAAAATTTAATGAAGCAGAGAACGAATTATTTCCATTAAAAAATAGAAGCAAAAGTACGAGACTTAATGTTTGAAATTTGCCAATTTAAACTAAAAACGGGAATATTTATTCTTTCCTTTTTTTAAATTTGCACGCTCACAGAATTCATTTGTAGCAAAATTTGACATTGATCCTGAATCAAGAACTGTTCTTGCTTTAACGAATTGGCCATAAATATTTCTAACCCAAACAATCGCAGTTGAAAGGAGAACAGTTTTATTTTTCGAAAAAAGACACGCCGATAAGGCTTTTTCTGTTGATTCATTGCTATTCAAAACAGCCTCATTTTTGCAGTTCTCTGGGGAGGGCGTAGTTTCACTTTGCTTTCCCCCACTTGTTGCAGACGACATGGAAGCTTCATTCCGATGAAGAAGTGAATTATGTTTTGATTTGCAAACCGAGCAAAAGTGTCTAGACTGACAGGAAGCTACTTTATGATTTGACTGTAAACAATTAATGCACAAAAAAAGCTTTTTAATCATTTCGTATCGTTCCATTGGATTTAATGCTAGAAATGTTTCGCCTTTAAAAATTGCGTGATTATCTTTGCAAACCGGGGGGGGCAAATAAATTTATTATTATCATTCGTTTTTGTCACTAACGATCGAACCTTATTTGGAGGAATGTTTTGTTTTGTTTTTGCAAATACAGTTTTGTTTTGCATATTTTCTAACATCTGGCATCGCTTTTGAAGAGATGTCATGAAAGAATCCCATTCACATAAATCATTACTATTTAATGACATTTCAAATTGCTTACGTGATTCTTTATCTATTTTATTGAGAATAATATTAATCAGCAAAGCTTCGCTTAATTTATCCATATTTAATTCCATAACTTTTAATGCTCTTAAATGTTTCTGAACTTTATCAATTAATGAATAAATCGTAAAAAAAGGATTTTTCATGAACTATTTTTTCAATAGAAAGTAATTCATTGATATGAGAATTTACAACCAGTCTCTTATTATCATATCTTTCTTCAAGTGCCTTAAATAAGGAAGAAAATGTATCATCTATTGTTTGTATCTGCTTTGCATCACCAATTAAACAAGATTGTAAATAAAACAATTTCTGAGAATCTGTTAATTGTCTATTAGATGAAATTAAAGCTACAAATTGGTTTTTAAATAAATTCCAGTCTTCGAAATTGCCAGAAAATTTAGGTAATGTTATTTCAGGCAATTTATAATTCAATGAATTACTTCTTGTTTCTGGGGATACTATTATTTGCATACTCATTATTTGCATTCTTATTACATAATGAAGTATAAAGACATTTCAGGCTTACCTGAACATTGGTAATAGCCATCTCGATTTCTTCAAAAGTAGCTTCGATGTCTGGTATTTCTTCATCTTTGCACACTTTGTAATAATCCAAGCGAAGTTCATCAATTTGTTTATTTAACTTGTGCACTTTTTCTTGCAATACTTCTATTTGTTCGAAACCAAAATCATCACTTTTTCCACTGACAGACGACTTTAATTTCCTAATTTGTGATTTAATGCTGCCACTTTTTCTGTTCAACGTAGTTATGTCTTCATTAGCCATTTTTTATTCTAATTAGCTCGGGCTCGTTGACCATGTTTTGAGGTCGCTGTTTAGACTCTATATTAAAGACAAATTTTACAACAACAAACAATTTTATTTAGTGGACTGTATCATAACTAAAAATCTAAATCGTAAATGATAAATTCCCGACCATACGGGATCTGTTACCTGACATAAGAGAAAGTTTGCAATATGATCTCTGATTGTAGTAATGTATATATGTAGATGAACCAAAAAGTAAATTATACCAGAGCTACTTTGCAATATACTGGAGTTACACTGAGTTTCTTTGGCAAGGATGCAGATCAAATTCAGGTTCATTGCCAAAAGTACCAAAAGTTATCTTAAAGAAATAGATTATCTATTTGCACAAAAACTATGCCTAATACGTGATCTCATTAATAACTATGATTTTAAGGATCTGCATTGCAACTGGATGATTTCAAGTAACGAACAAGTTCTAAAAACTGTAAATACACTTAAAATAGAACATATCCAATGCTACGACTTTAGATAAAAAAAAATAAAAAAAAAAAGAAGAAGTACGATATATTGATATATTGAAAACCTCTATACTACTTTACCACTTGAAGAAATTTATAAAAGTTTACTTGCTCTTCCTGATTTATTTCCGCAAATCTCTACAATAATAAATACCGAAAAATGGCAACTTTTTCTCTCAAGCGTACTTTCAATAATTTTATTCAATTTAACAATAACATCTTTAAACAAATACAGGGAATTCCAATGGGAAGTAATTTTTCAAGTTCTGTCTGTGAATTATTCCTTTATACAAAAGAATTGACCTTTATACGTTCACTCAGTAAGGAAGAACACGAATTTTACCAACACATCTCTCGATATATTGATGATGTAATTGCCTTTAAACACTTCAATAAAATAGAAAATGCTAATATCTACACTACATGCTTAAAACTAAATAATACAAATACGGTGCAACATAATGTAGTCTACCTTGATTTACATATTATTGATTACAATTTATTAAAAGTTTACGACAAAAGAAGACAGCATTGCCATAGGTCTGTTTTTTTATATTTCTTCTAAAAAAATTTTTTTTGGTCATAGCAAGACCCACGCTGTTGATTGTTTTATTTTTTCCTTATTCTTTTAAATTTAATTTCAGATTCATTTATAAAGTTTTAATTCTTTAAGCTTGTAGGTCCAGCCCGTACGTTATTGTATATTTTGACTAATAGCATACCGCTATTTATTTTTATTTTTATTATTGCTATACATCGGAATTGCATTTACATTTTTCACACCTTAATGTGTCAATTTATGCGGAAGCGTCGGGAAATTGGAACAGAGAATTGAGACTAAAAAAAATTTTCAGGACTGTTTATTTAATTAAATAAAAAATTTTGTAACGCAAAGTTTCAATTGTCTGTTTCGGCGAAACGCGTAACGATGTTAGCTTGGTTCGATGCTCACTCAGAAAATTTCCCTTGAAAAGCCAGAGTGGACCTCGAATTGAGCTAATTTACCATTTTCCGCTTCTTAATTTTTAATATTTTTTTTTTTTTTTTTTTTGCTTGTTCCATCAATCGGTTTTTTACTGTTTTATTTTTTGCCTTTAACTTTTTCCATCGATTAGTATTTTACTGTGTTTTATAATTTACATTTTATTTCACATGTAGCGTAATATGTCACCTCATTCAATTTAATTAGTTTTTTTAAAACTGTGTTAAAATTTCCGAAAATCTTTAACATATAGTTTTTTATTCGAACTTATAAAAACTACTGAATATGCATATGTTGGATTTTTCTTGGAGCCACAGCTTTTAATAACTTTTTGGCGAGCTAACTACAATTTCTCTTCTCATTTCCTTAATTTTGCAGCACATTGCGCAAAATTTTTTTTTTTACCAAAATTGGTCTTTTTTGTATTGTTCTTACAACTTTGCTTATAATAATATATATATATATATATATAATATAAAAAATAGGATGGCTTTGCTCTACGCGAACTAGCAACCTTTAATTAACTTTCTGCAATTCCAGGATCTTTTCCCTAGACCAGAACTTTCGAGAACATTCCAGCCTATTATGCAACCGCTTCTATAAATAGAGAACTCGCGCCACCTTTGCTGGTAAGATCTGTGCTTCTGCTCTCCTGCCTTTCTTTGTTAGAATACTATGATGCATTGAAATTAAATTTATTTAGTAAAGAGTGATGACATGCCTTTCAACTGCATAAAGATGTGGAATCAAAACAATTAACTTCTGTGTCGTCCTTGGATTGCAAAGCTTTACTCATGTGCCCAACTGTCAAAAATATTATATATAATATACTATAACAAGCAAGTTAGTTAGTACAATACTGTATGACCAATTTGGTCTAGATAACATTTACTATTATATATATATATATATATATAATTTAGAATGATCTAAAATTCATTGAATTCAAAAAACAAGTTTTTCTAATACTTGCACAATAGCTGCAAAGTAAGATAATTTATTTACTAAAGAAATATTGATTTATTTCCTCCTAATATAAATTTAGTAGAACTTATCAAAAAGAGGGAAACCATATGTAGAAAGTTTAATTCCGAAAATTGTGGAAGTCATTTAAGATGCAATAAGACACAGTCCTAGTAGATTTAAATCATATTTCTTTTACTGCAGTCAAGCATTTTTCAGCTACAAATACTTAGCACATTTATCGGGCCTGCTCCAGAAAAGATATATTTTAGATATTACTGCTGCAGGAATAACACAGCAAGGTACACTCTTAGCAAGAACAGAAGCAGAAGCAAAGTGTAGAGTTATTTAATATAGTAGTTTATTACGAGAAAGTTCTGATTTAAGTTCCAATTTAGCAATGTCATCAGCATTACAAGTCATATGCATAGCTTGATCTAGAAACAACACAGTCCAGAAAAAGTTATTACTACTTTTAGAATAGAGAGGGGAAGTACTCAAATTAAAAGAGGAAGTAAGAGCTATTGTTAATTTAAATTATAATTTTGATTTTCACATTTTTTATCTCTTTCTCTCTCTCTCTCACACACACACACAGAGTAAGAAATTTAGAACCAATTTTTCACAAAGACCAAAAATTGAAATTCACAAGTGGTGCAGTTTTAAAAATTAATAATTAATCGATGAATAATACATGAAATAATACACGGTGAAACCTTATAGCATAAGTGGCGACAAATGCATACGTTTTTCAAGCATTACTTACAATCCTTCAATATGTGTGCCCCTGATCACACATGACACATCTACATGTTAATCAAATTCTCCCTATACTCTGTGTAGTATGCTGCCGTAAATATCTGCAGTGCATGCTTTTCTTAACATAAACTTCCTCAAGAGACATGGGCACTTATGGTTATAAACTTGGTCTTTAACAAACCCCCAAAGAAAGGAATTGCATGGTGCTAAATCTAGCGAACAGATGGCCAGAGGAAAAGGCCATCCTGTTCGCAGTTATTGTTGCAGTATGTGCAATCCAGCATTGGTGAACAACATGATAGAAGCTCTCGTACATTCCTGTGAAAGTGGGGCAGACCACAGTCCATTTGAAAAGTGTAATCATCATAATTGGTGTTTAGCTAGGATAACAGCCAGGTTTCAACATGTCTAGAAATGAGTCACCGATCACCATTTCTTGTTCAAAGAGAAATGGGCACTGCACTTTTTCATGGAACACTGCACAGTAAACATGCATGAAACATATGTTGCACTGAAACCACAGATCTGGACACCTCAAAATGGAGCACACAAAAAGCCTTTTCCTGTGGTGGTGGCACCATCTTGAAAACTGACACTGCAGTTGCACATAAGCATAACAAACAAACAGCAGGTAGCACATGAGAAATTTAAACAGAGTCTAATATGGTGTAGGTTTTTACATGGGTAAGCTAATACACCGACTTATTATTCAATTTTAAAACCATACCATTCATTTATAAACACCCTGTATATATATATACACTTATTTTTAAATCTGTCTAATACCTTCATACATGCTTGCTGATCATATTGTAATGATATACCAGCTGGAAGCTGAAATCCTACTTCAAATTGGAGACATGTGAAACAATTAGAATTTCAAGGGCTAAATACTTAAATTGTAGAGACATTCATCATACGGCAATCAAATTGTAAAGAGATACAAACAATTTGAAAACTGTTGCACAGATCTGACTGTTATATATATTGTTAAAGAAGATCCCCAACTTCTATCACTAAAGGTCCTCTTGACAAAATTGAAAAGATGATTCAAGATAATCAATGTATTAAAAAAATCACATCCTATGGAAATATATATACTATCATTTATGATCATTTAGGCTTTTGTAAACAGTGTGAAGTAAATGCAAAGTATTTTGATAAATGAACATAGAAATCATTGCTTTCCTGCATGTTTGGCATTCTTAAAAGACACGCTACACAGGGTCACAATTTTTTGCTTTAAATAATCACAAGAAAAGAACTATGGTTTAATAGTTTCTACTCCGCAACAAAACATGTATCAATGGATTGGTTACATACCAACTCAACAGAAAAAAGTCCAACTTTTAGCAGTAAAAATTACAACATTTTTTTTTGATTGTGAAGTGCTTTTTACGACAAATTCATAGCAAATAAGAAGGATAAATAGTGGTCTCATACCTCAAACTCTAAAATGCTGCAAAAGACAATTAAAGACCCATGTGGGAAAAGTAAATTAAGTGATGAAATCATTCTATTGCCCAATATAACATAGCCGTTGCGGTGAAAAAAACCAAACAATTGTTGGAAAAATCCAAATGAGAGGTGCGATCACACCACTGTACAGCTCTGGTTTATCACCATAAGATAATCATTTGTTTGATAAAATGAAATAGAAATTTTATTTTGACAGCATTTATTTTGAACTAATGAAAATGTGAAAATTGCAGTTTTGAATGGGTTACACCATGCAAGAGATTTCTCTTACACTGGTATGGATAAATTAAGTATGGGTTATGATATTTTTTAAT